GCTTTTCTGTGTTTTCCTCTTGTTTTCTTGGTACCACAGACTTCTTTCATTGTGTCCAGGAGAGTTGTTTTGAAGGTATCCCAAGCTTCCTCTACGGTTAGTGTTGTAGGAGTTGATAGAGCCTAGCTTTTCATTTAACGTGCTTCTGATCTGAGCCTGCACCTGATCATCTCCAAATTTATGCATATTTAGTCTCTCTTGCTGTCTTTTATGTGTTTTTTTGGTTTTCCTTCTTTCTTGGTGGTCAACGTTGTGATGATTGGCCTGTGGTCTGTGTCCAGGCCTGCATTGGGGATGGCTCTTGAGTCTGTGATTGTGATCCACATTCGTGTTCTCGTTAATATGAAGTCGATTTGTGATGAGACCATGATAAGGTTCCATCTGTACCAGGTGTAGATCTGAGAGGCTCTGTGCTGGAAGAAGGTGTTTGTGATGAATAAGTCGTGCTCTGCACACAGTTCCAATACATTATTGCCGTTATAATTGCATGGTGTTCTGTGGTCACTGTGTGGACCCAGGTGTTTTGTCCACGGTGTTCTTCTCTCTCCGAGTCTTCCGTTGAAGTCTCCCATTACATAAAGGTCTTCCTCGTCTGGGATGTTGCTAATTAAGTCCGAGAGTTGTTCAAAGAAAGAGTCCTTTTCTTCGTCTGAGTAGGAGTCGTTACACGGTGCATACACCTGAATGTAGTTTATGGTCTTTTTGCCCTCTCTAATGCTGATTTTGATGAGTCTTTCAGAAATGAAGTCTGTATTCAATATTCCCTTTGCTTTGTCAGGGTGTACGATGAAACCCACACCGTGTTCAGCTCTTTGTTCTTTTCTTACCCCACTCCAAATGAGGACAAAGTTAGAGTGGATCTCTTTTGCGCCTGTCCCTTTTTTCCGGATGTCTGTAATGCCCAGGATGGAGATCTTGTTCTGGGTCATGAACTCCACTACCTCAGATGATTCTTTATTTGTCAAGCTGCAAATGTTCCAGGTCCCAATTTGTTCATTTTTTCTTGATCGTTGTCCATTTTTCTCCCCAGGTCGTTTTCGGTTTTGATCAGTCCGTTTGTGTCTCTTTATATTTTCTTGAGCAATATTAATATCCACTGCAGGCCTGCTAAGCCAGTCGCAGTTTCACCAGAGCCCCGTTGGCCAGCAACGTTTCGGGGTGACCCTGGTCGGCCTTCACGGCTAGCGTAACGCCTCAGTGACATAAAGTCACACCGTACTTCACCCAGACCCAGCTATCCCCTACTTTGTCCTGTTTCCATCTCCCACGGCGTGGACGAGGGGTTGGACTTCGAGAGACATATATATATATATTAATATATATATATATATATATATATATATATATATATATATATATATATATATATATATGTGTGTGTGTGTGTGTGTGTGTGTGTGTGTGTGTATAGCTTGACCACTTTTCAGATTGGCTATATATATATATAGCTTCACCACTGGTCAGTCTGGCCACTGCTTTACCACTGTTCACTTCAACAAGACATAGCTTTTTACTTGACTAGTGGAACATAGAGCTGGGGGAACACAGACATGCTCCCGTGGTCTCTTTCTTTCTCTGTAGGTGGTTAATATTGTCATTTTGTTTTGTTGTGATTATTTCTTTGAAAACTACTGTGCCTATCTTTCCCAAGGCCAACCTGTTCATCCAATCTTGTTTGCTGTTGTTAATTATTTGTTTTGCAGTGCTGTATGAGGTTGAAGTGTTGGGCTGTTCCTGTCTAGACCCACTTTTTGGTGAGTGTGTCTGTTCTGTCATTTCCAGGTACGAGGAATGTTTGAGTGTCTGGGAATCCACTGCGTCACCAGGTTGACGCCACAGGATGTTATCAAGTGATGGGAACCAAACTGTAATATGTGGCAAGTCTTGGTTCAGATTATGGTCATTTTCTATTTCTTGCAAGACTGATAGAGAGTCAGTGAAAATCACAATACTCTGCATTTTGTTTGGATGAATGTCAAAAAGTGTGCGGAGAGGGTATAGTGCTGTTTTAATTGCCATCATTTCTGCATAGCAGTTTTTGCATTTTTCTCTACAGGCTACAGAGATCTCTTTGGAACTTCCATCTGAGTACTGTATTAGTATTCTATACCCGGCTTTGGTTGTGCCTTTGAATGCTGAGCCATCTGTATAGACGTGTATCCAGTCATCTGAATAGTTGTCGATTGTTTGATGTGATGCAAGCATCAGCGTCACTGAATCTGAAGATTATGTAATATTGTCTCTGAGAGATGTTGTTATAATTGCTTTTTCCAAAGAAATGTGGGGAGGAATGTTTTGGTTGACTCTTTTGGTCTCTCTTCTGTTTTGTGGTAGATAGTAACGCTCCTTTAGTTCTTTGATGTGATGCATGATTGATATTTGTTTCTTTGGTCTCCATGTTTCTACTAATGTCCTGTTTGGGTGGGTGGGGCACAATCTTTTGGTTCTTTCATAAAGCTCCAAAACTACTTTATCTCTGCGAATTTCCAGTGGTTCAACGATTGAAAGAATTTCAAATGCAGCAGTAGGTGTAGATCTCATGCCACCGTTTATGAAACGAAAGGCATTATGTTGAACCTCGTCAAGGGTATTGCAAGTAGTTGTACTGCACATAGTGAGTAGGCTATTGCCGTATTCCAGTGAAGATCGGACATAACCAAGGTATAGAGCTCTCAGAGTTTGTTTGTCTGATCCCCTTGAACTTGAGTTTTCTTTTCGCCTTGTGCTTTAGACTCTCCGCTTGGCTTTCCATGGTCAGACTTTGATCAAGTTTGACTCCTAGGTATGTTGATTGTTTTTCTTTGGGGAGATTTTTATTTCCTATCCTTAGTTGAAGTTTTTCTTTGACTGTTTTGTGGCTCCTTGTAAAGATGGTGTATACTGTTTTCTTGCAGTTTATTTTGAGCTTCCATTTGCGACAGTAATTGAGGAGCCTCTTGAGGTCTTCATTTAATTTCCCTGCTCCTACTACCGTTCTATGATGTGTCTGCCAGAGAGCAAGATCATTAGCGTAGATAGTCTTTTCAGGTTTTAGTACCTTCGTTACTTCATTAAAGAAGATCAGGAACAAAGTGCGCACTCACACAGGGACCTCGGGGTAGGCCTTCCTCGAGTGCTTCTCTTGATGAGTGGGCACAATTCACCTCCGTTTCAATGTTTCGATCCACCAGGTAAAACTTGATCCATTTATAAAATTTTTCGTGTATCCCGATATCATTCATTTTCATGAATAAGTCTTTTCTCCAAACTTTGTCGTACGCCAGTGGAGGTCTACAAAAATGGCGACAATGTTTTAATTCCTGAAAATCATCCTGGATGTCTTGACTTAGTTTGAAAAGTTGGTCTTCTGTGTTGCTACCTTTTGTGAAGCCTGCTTGGTGTGGGTTCAATGTGTTGGTGTTCTCCAAGTACCAGTAAAGGCGGTTGTTAACCATTCTTTCGGCACGCTTACCGATACATGATGTTTGTGATAAAGGTCGGTAGCTCTTCGCTTCCCCAGGCGGTTTCCTATTCTTCAGGAGCGGTATGATCTAGGCGATCCTCCACGCCTTTAGTATTCCGCTCGTTCTCCACGTGGCATATTACTAGGCGGTGTATGTCTTTTCCTTTGGTATTAGGTTGCAGAGCATTTCGTTGTGTATTTTGTCTGGTCCAGGGCTTTCTTTTGCTTCAACTTTCTGAGGGCCTGTCCGACATCCATCATGCAGAAGTTCTCCTCAAAAAGGGTGTTGTTCACCGTAGGGGCTTTTTCTTTGTGCCTAGCCTTGTTTATGAGGAGTCTATCGGCCTCAGTTAGTCTACTTGCCCTGTTTACTGAGGCGAAATACAGGTTAGAAAGTTCGGCTCTCTTCTGATCTACAGCGAAGGTGCTACCTGAAAGGACAAAAAAGGTTTGGGGTTGCTTTTTTGTCTTTCTCGGGAGAGGTTACTGACAATGGACCAAGACTTGTTCCATTATGGTGAAGGTCGAAATCTTCACAAGTCTGAGTCCATTTTTCATTTTTGGCTTTTTAAAATCTGTTATTTTCACCTGAGCGCAGGTCTTGCTAAAGTGTGATAGTGTGTTCTGGCTATTGGTAATTGTGAGTTTTCCAGTAACTGTCTGGCCTTCTCTTTTTCTGTCATAGCCGCCTGGATATCTTCGTTCCAAACCGGTTTGACATTTCTTCGGCATCCCCATGGAATGTGCTGAGATGCAGTTTTAAGAATATTTTTAGTGACGTGTTCATTTAAAAAGATCAGCACATCTAATATCTGTTTCTACTATGCTAGAGAGCAATTTGTCAGAGGTCTTTTTGTACTCTGCCCAGTTGGCTTTCTTAAAATTCCATTGAGTCCTCCGAGGATGGTTGAATGCAGGTGGGGAAGTGATTTTAGTGAAGATGGGCCTGTGATCGTGATCACTTCCTATGCTATCAATCACTTCGATGTGACAGGAGTTTTTGATGTCAGATGAGCAGATGGTGAGACCAGGCCGGCTGAATGTCAAGTGGGCTCTGTGAAGTAGGGTAGGAGTGGAGTTGGCATTTTGTAACACAGAGAGGTTGCTGGTTTCACAAAACTCTTCGATCTTTTGGCCTGTGCTGTTGTAGCTGGTGTAGCCCCATTCAGGGGAGTGGCCTTTGAAGTCACCCGCGCAAATGGGTTTTTTCATAGTTGGTTGCTTGCAGATCAGACAGGTCGCATGTTGTCTCTGGGGGGGGGGGCTGTAAACATTGTAAATCGTGTACTTTCTACCAGTGTGCCATATTATGATGGCCTTCTGGATATCTGTCAGTTGGGCAGATGATAAGTGTATGACATCTCCCTGAACATCGTTTCGCAGGTAAATGACTACACTCGACATCCTGTGTATGCGCAGGCATTACTGGTGTATCCTGTTCAGGTCCATACCTTTGTGTAGGGTTTCTTGAAGGAGGGCAACATGAATCTGCCTGTCCTTCAGTACTTTGAGAAGTTCTGTTTTCTTGTTCCTCAAACCACAGATGTTGAGCTGCAAGAGGTTGGGGGAACTATTCTGTGTGGGGCTGCGATTGGCTCCCTTCTCCCGCAGAGAGCTTTTTCGTGCTGGTTAAGCACCGTTTCTGTGTGTATCACCAGTAGCTGACTTGTCGCTTGACCTTGACCATCAATGATTTATTGATAGAGGCACCAGCCATCCATGTCCAGGTGCTGCTTTAGCCTCTTTTTCCAGTGTGCGGATTAATATTCTTTTTTCCAATTTATTGGTTCCGCTTCCATGTACCCCGTATCTATGGTTCTCAACCTGGAAATTGCCTATAATTCTCTGTAATTGACCCCCCCCCCCTACCATTTCTCCTCCCCCCCCCCCCCCCCCCCCCTTATAGTGTCATCATTTATGTTACCGTTCATTTTTATCGATAACACGATTAAGGGCAGTATTAATGATAATCATCAGAGCAGCCCGGTGATTGCACTGCCTGGCGTGGACCTTGTTTAACGAGGCGACGTCCGAGCTCGCATGAGGTTTTGTTCTTTTTGTCTTGGAATTGTAGACTGGGGTCTCTGTGGACTCTGTGGACTGCCTGCCTACCCCGAGAAGAGGCCACGCGTGTTGAGGATAGGAGGATACAAGGTTTTTCATGAGGCTGGATGAGGCTGGAGGCCTAATTGTCCTGTGACTGTGAAATTCCGGTAGGGTTCACGTTGCCCATTCCCCGCCACCAATGGCTTTTGGCTATAGTTGTCTATTCTTGCAGGAGGTTTCGGCCAAGTGGGAAATCCATTGGGTATTATTTGTTGGCGCCAACAACTCGCCATTCGCCGGAGCCGTGTCAGTGAAAACAGGGACCACAACGGGTAGGTACGGTTGGCTGGATTGGGAGACGCTGTTTGAGACATTTAGGTATTTCTCAATAATATTTAAATGAGACCCACCACCAGTCCTTCATCCCCACTCTCGTCTTAA